CAACTCTTTTGAAATGGCTCTTTTTTGATGAGTCTCCCCCTTGCCTAACAAACAAAGCTGTCAGAGCAATGTCTTTGTCTCCCCTCCGCCTTGAGCCGTTCCCTCCCTACCAGTCAGCGGGGGAATCAGCAGCCTGTACTGGGATGTCAGAAAGGCATGCAAATCAGACCCTGATCCACCTTCCTCATCCGCCTGTTCCTGACTTTGGCTGCCGTTGGGAAGAGATGCCAAATGTTTGGTTGGTGCTTCGGGTACAGAGGAGAGCGTGTCCTGAACCTCACTTTGCGTTGTTTGTTATCAGTAAAGGACCAGCCCTAGGAAAATGTAGGTATTTGTAGGTCTTTGCTGTTGCCTCTCCTTTTCTTTTCGGGGCTCATCCTCACTTCCTAAGCACTCACTTCCCTGTATATCTGGCCTGTCTCCAGCTATTTCCTGTGTTTGTACACAGATGGACACTTCATTCAGGCTCACCCTAAACTCAAGGCATCTGCCATGCTTGTATCTCATGAAAGCAGGTTTGTCCTGTTTGCTGTCTGCCAGAGCACGTGCTAGGGAAAATGCCACAACTGAAAGCATAATTGTATTTGTAGAAATTTCAGAGACCATGCGCAGCCAACTGGGGACACACCTGCAGCTCAGCTTCAGTCATCCCTCAGACTGTCGCTGCCTGTTTTCCTCCTGAGCCAGCCATACTGCTCCCCAAGAAGGCCTGCGACCAGGGTGGCCCCCTTCCCTCTCAGGCCCTACAGACCCTGGGGCTGTGAAAGTTCGGTCAAAGTCCTTTTTTTTTAGTTTAGTAACTGTTATACAAAATACATGGGTCAGTCCTTTATAAGTCTTTCCCTTGTGATGGTGTTTATGATAGCAAAATTGTACCTGCATTTGGAAATCTCTTCTTCAGAATTTATGTTAAAAGTAGGAAATTTTGTTTGGCTGGAGTTTTTTCCTCCCCTTTAAAAAAGTGATGAGGCCTGGAAATTACTAGATGTTCTCTTTGATCTTGTTCAGTCTGTAAAGTGGGTGCAGTAGAGTCCTACATCTTGGTTTCAATTCTCAAATTTGACATTTGGAAGCTGAATAGCAAGAACTCTAGGAAGAGAGAGCAGTTTTAGAGAATATTCTAGAAAGTCATAATTTGTATTGATGCTGACCAAATCATTTTGGAAATCCGTGTCTCTCCTCCTCTGTACAACAGGGTTAATTATATTCTTTGCCGAGCACATTGAATGTGCCTGTTAAAAACTGTTGGGTAAGTGCAAGTGTTGCTTCTTATTAATGAGGCCTCTCAGTTCCTTTTCTTTCATAAGAAAAAGGGGGAGAGAGTGTTTAACAATTCAGCACTCTGTCTCCTGCTAGGAATAATTGCTTGATTTCTTTTATTGTTCATAGCACTTCTTGAATTAGATTAATTTCTTTATATTCCATTTCTGTCTTTTCAAGACAGCAATTTCTTTGACTAAAAATATAACAAGGCATATGATACTCATCCACGTATAAAAAGTAAACCAAACCTCCTTTTATTTTGAAACCCACTGTTTTGGAAAATGTTCTTTCTAGTTGAGCGTTTAAGATCCCAAACCATTGGGTTTGCCCCATCACAAAGCACTTACAAGTTCACTGTGATCCACACACAGCTGCATCTAATGCCAGAATAGAGGGTTGAAGTCACTTCAGGTGGTGCCTGCGCAGATCTGAGAGAAATTCAGAGATTCTGAACAAAAGACAATGGCAACATTTCCATTACACTGGGGACTGAAGCACCTCTCAGGCTGAGACTGTAATGAACTCACCAGATGTACCAAACCATTTAAAATAGTGAGCTTCCCTGAGCTACCATGAGTGGTACTTGCTTTCTTATGAGACAACAGGTCTATCAGCTGACACTGCAGTCAGCACCCTGTGGTTTTTCTCTATGTTGCTTTGAAAGACAGCCTGTGGGCACCTCGCAGTATCACACTGTGTGTGTGTGTGTGTGTGTGTGTGTGTGTGTTGATGTGTTCTGATCTAAAGTATAGTTCCCCTTTGTTCAAAACAGACTTTAAAGAAACTAACACATTAAACCAGTATCTCACCTTGACAGTAAAAACAATGAAGGAAAACAGGACCGTGATTAGTGAAATGAGGAAGAAGTATTTATTACTAGATGCCTAAACTGAGCATAAATATAGTTCTGAGTTTCCTGGCAGGAAAGCAGGCTCGTGTGAGATTGTGTAATTATCTTTTCATGATAAAAGAAACCAACAAAATTTATCTGGAAAGATCAACATTTTCCTGGCAGAAAATTCCAAGATGAACTTAATTCACAGGATCTTCTATTAGAGACACTAGATAACATAATGAAGAGTGTCTTCAGCTGACACGGAAGTATTCAAGTGGACGTTCCAAACACTATAAAGGATGAAGATATAATATGGAATATTAGGAGCCTGTGTGCTTGGCTTTCTGCCTTTACTACAGGGCCACCTTAGCCAACCTCACGGAGGGGTATGTTAAGGAGATCATTGGGTTGGTACATCCTTTGGGACCTTCTGGGTTACAGCCTGCTCACTCTTGCGCTCTCTTCTTATCTGAAGCACATTCTGCTTGCCGATTAAGGAGGGATGCTAATCTGAAGGAGATAGGCTTAGCATTCTGCTTTGAGACTTAGGGGCCCTAACTCCAGCAGGAGGGTTGAATCCACCTCTACGTGGAGCTGGGCTTTGGTGGAGAGGGGGGCTTGCAAGAAGGGCAAGCTTTTAGAGGAGCTTTTAGTGTGCTCACACTTCTGATGCATACCAGGACCCCGGAGCATGGAAGAAACTATTTTGAATGAAATATTTTTAGTGGAAAGGTTGCATTAAATGCCATGAGGGACCAGACAGGAAATAAGGGGGTCAGGCAGTGGGTGTTAAGTACACAGACCCGCTTGAGTCAGGGCTGGGACATGAGAGCAAACGCCCAGGCCCACAGGGCACCTCCACTCAGCCTGGCCCATGTTGCCACGTGCAAAGGCCCAGGATTGCCAGAGTGGAAGCATTCCTGGGCTTTTCCGGGAGAGGCTAGAAATCTTGATTTTAAATGATATTTAATGAATTAGAATATAGGCTCAGAAACTGTTTTTAAAAATCATTTTGCAGGTCAAACCCAATATATGTATAATCTGGTTTCGTATATGATTTTTTGGGGGGTTCATTAAATGGCATACTCGAGTAATTGATTTTTGTGATTGTTTACATTTGTCTGGTCATGTTTTTTTTCAGCTTTATTGAGATATAATTGACATATAACGTGTAAGTTTAAGGTGTACAACGTGATGATTTGACACACTTATATATTGCAAATGATCACTCACCCTGGCGTTATCTAACACCTCCATACCATCATGTGACTACCATTTCTTTTTTGTGGTAAGAACATCTAAGATCTACTGTCTTAGCAACTTTCAAGTATATTCATCTGATCATCTTTAAATAAGGAGGAGTAACACAAATATTAATCTTCATTGAATTCTTATTATGTGCCATGCATTGTGCAGAGGGCTATATATGTAGTAACTCATTTAATCTTCACAAAGCTCTTTGAGGCAGGAATTATCAGTATCATTCTCAATATCGTTATCAGCATCATCGTCGTCATCTCTGCTCCATAGACGTGGGTGCTCTTGAGGTTAAGGGACGTAAGTAACTTGCTCCAGCTTCCACAGTAAGCAGTGGAGCCCAAGTGCAAGGCAGGCAGTCTGACCCAGAGCAGTGTCCCCTGCCAGCCCAAAGCCCAGTGCTACCAGTATAACATTTTTTTCTCTGAGTGTTGAAAAACAGACATTATTTTGGATCCCACAGCGCCTTGTCTAATGACAGGAAAGAACGAAACCCAAGAAGCACTGAGGAACGTTCCCACACCCCCATCCCTGTCTCCCTTCCTCATTGTAATCACTCAGATATGAATTGTGAGAAGTGTCTTACTGAAATTTACAGTACGGGTGTGGCCGGGCGGAGGTGGAGGGGCCCTGAATCACGCAGTGAGCTTGAAGCTCCCGCCAAGACTCAAGGCTCACAGTTCGTCATCAAGAAACAGCAGATGGAAACAACCCTTTCTAGCATTGCCTTAGTTTAAGGGAACACCTTTCCCCATTCTTTCCTAAACCAAGAGGGGAGACCAACCTCCCGTTGTAAGCAGACTGAATATTGCTTCGTGTGGTAGAGATACGGCCTTTAATAGTTTGTGTAGAAACAATACAGTATTATGCTAATTTGCTAAGTATTCCAGTCTTTTCGGTAACTATTAATATCATTAAACGTGAGTGTAATTTTTTCTTAGTAAAGACCTTTTATCAAAGACCGCGTCTAAAATACAACATCCTTTTTTTTTTATTCATGGTTAAATCAATGATAGCTATTTGGCAAAGGCTCAGAATTATCCCTGTTAACTTGTTTTTAATAGCATTTAACTTATATGTGTGCTCAAACCTCCAATTCATGCGTGTATGTATGTGTACTAATTGTGGCCACATGCATTTAAACACAGTGCTATTGGTGGGAAATGAAGCATAAAATGTGAAAGATGTATAATTATTAAGGGGTTGAAATTATAGTTTTTGACTCCTTCCAGAACGGGGATGTTATGCCACAGCTTTGATTGGTTTTCATTTCAGATGAAGTTCCTGGGTAGATTTGGTGATCGGTTTTTCACCTTCCTAATTAATTGTAAAATTCTTCCCTCTCATGGACATAAATGAATTAACACATCGGTTTGCCCGTTAATATATGCTTTTCCTTCGGACTCGTGCTGTCCTCCCAAGTAGGAGACAGGTGGACCTCTCAGAGCAAGGTCAAAGCCCCTGGATGTATCAGTGAGAGAACTTTGGTTGCTTTTCCTCTTTTTCTAACCTAAATTTTGAAGTAAAGAACATAATGGTTTCTAATAGCCATGACATAACTTTTTCAGCATTGAATGTATTTGCATCCGTATACGTAGCAGCTCTGTGCAGTGCATACGATGAATGACTCTGAATTCTATTTCAGACAATCCATGGTCACAAGGGACCCATCACTGCCGTGGCCTTTGCTCCTGATGGACGATATCTTGCCACCTACTCAAACACAGACAGCCACATTTCCTTCTGGCAGGTAAGTGAACATGCTGCAGGGTCTTGACGTGTGGTGCATGATCCGCTTTTGCTGGGAAAGGCTCCCTTGTGCCCTCCCTCCCTTCTTTCAACAGACATCAAGTACTTATTGCTTGCTGGTTGTGTGCCAGCTGCCAGCACGCAGGGGCTACTGAGAATACAATTAGCAACCTGGAAGGAGGGGGTCTGCTCTCACCAAGCTTTCAGTCTGAGGGAGACACAAGTAAATCAGCAAGTAACTACAGTACAGGGGGAACCTGGGAGTAAGGTTGTGGGCCGGCTTCACAGAGGCAGCAACACCTGAGCTGAGACATGGTGACATCAAGGAAGGGCCAGGCATTCAGGGTAGGGAGGGGTGGGTGTTTGGAGAGAGGTAGGCATCATTGAGATGTAAGTGAGGGCCTGGCCCGAAAGGAATTGGGGCACGGAGCACTGCTCAGGCTGTTAATTTACACAAGGCATCCAGACAACGCCAACAGGGCATAGGGGAAAGGGCAGCCTTGTATTAACTCCATGCCCCATTTGTATTATCTCATTTGCGTTGGCTTTCTGAATTTCCACATAATGCTCTTCATTTCCAAGCTATTAAAACATTTTCAAAACTCTGAGTATCGCTGACTGGCAGTACATGAGGACAGCTCTGTTCCATTATGATTACAGTGAATGTTAATTGGAGCAACTGAGTTTTATAATAGAACTTGTTTCATCCTCAGTGATTAACCTCCATCGCATCTTCTTTTTTTTTGCGGTACGTGGGCCTCTCACTGTTGTGGTCTCTCCCGTTGCGGAGCACAGGCTCCGGACGCACAGGCTCAGCGCCATGGCTCACGGGCCCAGCCGCCCCGCGGCATGTGGGATCTTCCCGGACCGGGGCACGAACCCGTGTCCCCTGCATCGGCAGGCGGACTCTCAACCACTGCGCCACCAGGGAAGCCCCCCATCTTCTTTTTAATTACCTTACTCCTGATAATTACAAAAAAGTTAAACATTACCAACTCCCCCACCGCCACAAGTTAATATAAAATTCTGTTACCTATCCTAGGATGCAAGTATGTTTTATGAGATTCAGTTTATTGCTTTGAAAGCTAAAAAAGCAAATAAAAGTTTAAACAAGACTTCACAATGTGACGATTTTTAAAAACCCAATAGCTAATGTAATGTAAAACAGATACAATAAATTGCTTAATTAACCACATGCTACTGAAGCATGACAGCTTCCAGATCTGTCCTAGCTTTTTCTACTTTTCCTCTAATTTAGTTTTCCAGTCTGTTTTCTTATTATCCTTTCTTCCAGAATATATCTCCAGCATCTTAATTGGCTCATATTAAACTTTTCCTTAGAGATGTCACCGAGTCTTCATTTTTCCTAGCGGGTAACCCCAGGACTCGTATTTTATCCCACTGAAATCCCACAGCAAGTCCATAAACAACTCTTGCAACATTGGTCCTGTAGATAGTGTCTCTACCAACTGTTCTTTTCTGCCAACGCAGTGGTGTCTGTGGCACCGACTGTACTTTGATACACATTTTCCTGAATTTCCTGTTCTCTTGAAATCTCAGAGGAGTGTCCATGTGAAACTCCCTTCATTTGGCATGTATCTGGTGTGGAAGCGCTGGGTGCCAGCCTAGCTTTAGGGACATGGAACCAAGCAGTCTCGGGTCCCTGCTTTCCAGGAGCTTGTGTTCGCCCCATGCTTTATTCTTGGGAATAAACAAAACCAGATCTCTTCTTTTTCGTTGTTCAATTTTTCTTCCTGCTAAGAAAATATACTTCCTTATGTAAAGGGATACCTCCTACATTGGCCAGATGTGAAACTTTCCCCAGTATTTTCCTGAATGTCTAAGTGGTAAACCTTTTCCCCCTTATCTAGGTCTTCAGAGACCTATTTGGATATGTTCATCCCTTCCTTGAATCTTTTTCTATGTTTATCAGAGTTGCTGCCCGGCTCATTGATGGAATTATCGTTAGCATCTTCCTCACCCCGGAGATCAAGATCGTTCCTTAGATGCTGTCTTTTTGAAGCACCTCTTTCTGTCCTCCAGGCTCCTGCTGTTGCCTCCGGGCTTCGCCAAGTGCAGTTAACCCTGCGCATCTGTCCACGCGGCTCTGCCCAGCTCCTTTCCTTCGTCTGCACTCTCTTCTCCAGGGGCACCTTGTGTTACTTGCAGGGGTGGGTGTTCAGCAGACAGAGCACCCAAGCAACTCAGGCAACACCCAGGTCTTTCTTGCCTCTAAACCCAATGTCAGAATTTAAAATGTGGCCCATTTCTTCCCTGCTTAAATTATACCCAGCTTGGTCTTCAAATTTAAGTGGAAGACACAGAAATATCATTTCAACTTTCTCAAGAAAATACAATAAAACCTCTTCCAGAAGTGTAGTGGGTTTTTATTTGAATTAAAGGGAGTCCAAAAAGCAGTGTTAGATCTACCGTGGCTCTCCCCAAATGGGCTTGGCTGATTTATTTATATACATATTGTTTAGGTCTAATGATGTATGATAATACTTTTATATGATTCCAGTAAATGTACTGCAATATATTTTGAAAACTTAATGAAGCCTTATTATATAGAGAGCCTTACGAAAGCCATCAGCTATTAAAATCTTTGCTGAGAAATGAGTGTTAATGAGAATTACTGGTTGGATAATTACTCAAGTGAGATTTAGTAAAAGGTTTGGGTGCAACATCACTTGCACTGAGAATAGCATTAAAACACTTCCTGTTTTGATGAATTACATCTGTATGTATGTCTGTGTGTTCAGAAAATAATCTTCTCAGAACTGGTCTTGTGAAGCATTATTTTTAAAGGGAAGGAAAAAGCCATGGTGGCCGTTAGTTCGTTTACACACTCAGCCGCTAAATGATGTAATTTGGCAATCTCTCAAGCCCTTTGATTCTCCAACAACATATTCCTACTATTTGAATGTTTCACTTCAGTGTATCCATTGGTATTTGAGCCAGGAGAGTTTAGAAATGAAATACAACCATCATTCTCTCACCTGAATTTTACCACCACCCTCCAGCAATTAAGTATCCTCTTCCAGGAATGCTAATAATAAATTAGATGGATATTGGTTTCATTTAGTTTTCTTTATTCCATCATACAATAGAATACTACTCAGCCATTTTAAAAGGATGATGTAAATCTATAGTCGTTAACGTGAAAAGATTGCCCTCAACGTTCTGTTGAACGAAAAAAGCGGAGTGTGCAACTGCCTTTTAATATGAGCCTGTTTATGTAAAACTCCTTAAACCTGCTTCTCCTTATGTGGATATAGGCTTGGAGATCTGGGAAGAGGTTTACCAAAAGGTTAGTGATTGTCTCTGGGAAATGATATTTCAGAGGATTTTTGCTTTCTTTTTTATACTTCTCTTTATCATTTGAATTTTCCACGATGAGTATTTATTATCTTGGTAGTGAAGAAAAAAGCTAATGTGACCAAATATCATAATTCCATGTATTTTTCATTCATGCAGGACTCAGATTGCCTTTACTTATGCCAGTAAATTTGTAGCCAGTCTCTGATCAAATATGAATATCGAATAACAAAATGGCTAGTTGTTTTGGTGAGAGTTCTTCGATGGAGCTTACTGGAAAAATCAAAACCCACCCTTACTGGTCTTACAGATTTATCTCTTATTTGAAGAGATCATAGGAAAAGGATGGTCTGAGGAACAACAAATTATACTTAACATGAGAGTCTTTGTCTTTCCATCTGTTTTCTACCATAATCGTTATGTACTGTGTAGAATTTCACATAGCCCTGTTCTGAGGCAGGAAGGCTGTTTGACCCTAACAAAACATTTATCAGTCATTTGACGGATGATTCAACTTGCAAGGAGAGCCCAGCTATAATAATGGAACTTTTTGGGAAATCTTTCCGCCTGTCACATTCCAATAAGATGTTCTCTCCCTGCCCACTTGAGCCTTCAGCCCACTTCTTGTACGTGGCTAAATTTGAAGGAAGGACTTAAAAATAAGGATGTGTCTGAGCCTATCGGATGCCCCTAGCTTTTTGAGCCACCAGCAGAAATCAAGCTTCATACACATTTTCATAGAAAATCCATAAAGAATGAAAAATACTTTGTAGTTATTTATCAACTGAGAAATTAGATTTTTAAAAAGCACAGTGTGCCTGTTGATGCCAGTTCATTTTAACCGGCAATTTTCTGCATCATTTGGATCTGCTCTGTAAGAGGACTAAATAATGATGTACTGTTACTCTTTGTACAAGTGAGAACTAGCAAATCAAGCTCGCCATCATTATTTATATTTAAGCTATTTGGGAACCTCCAGAAAGCAATAAGGCCCTGATTTTTATCTTTTATGGAGTTTTTGGAAAAAGGAGGGAAGGACGCAAGGAAAGAGGTTCTTAGAGGATGACGGTAAGGTACTGCCTGGCTTTACATGTTAACTGCACTTTAACAGAAAGAGTTAATGATAATCATACATTTGGTTTTAAAATGTGACCTCGTACACTAGTGATTTTTTTTCACCTCTGTGTTGTGTTCGGCACTATTATTAATGCAGGAAAATCAGTAACATTAGTCATCTTAAAAGGGTTATTACTCAAGATGATTTAAATTGTGAAAATGTCAGTGGAGCCTGCACGTGTCCTGCCAGAGATGCCATGATTTACACCCCCTGACACCATCCTGCTTCTGAGAAGGGCCAGGAAAGGAATGGCTTAAATATTTCGCACTGATCCAAATGCAGAGCATGATATCAGCAATAACACACCTTAAATGTCCTAGGACGTGCCAAGGTTTCCTGTGTCAACCGTGTGTACACATTGGAGCATAATCTGCATGCTTGAAGCAAGTCCCTAGAATCACGTACATTCAGGTGGAGGTACTGCTGGAGAGAAGAATTGGACATGAAAATTAGTGCAAAGAAAAATATTATTTCCAAGCCCTCTTTCCTGATGGTCAGTGTGCTTGCCACGTGATTTGTAATAGCACAAAAGATGAATATTGAAAAAATGTTAAGTAATATTTAGAATCTAAAGGATTCTTCAGACTCAGTCGCTCAGATGACAGTTCACTTAGATAACGGCCATTCAGCATTTAGCACTTCGACATGAATGCATAGTTGTTCATGAGCCATAATTTCCATGTTATTTTCCATTTACGTGAACGAATTAAGAGAACTTAAGACTCAAGTCAAAGCCAGAAAGGCTGCCCAAAAAGCAGAAATCACTAGCCGATTAAAACCTCCTGCCAATAAAGTGTCAAGAGTGTGCTCTCTTTAGCGTGGCCGCAGAACAGTGGGCCACACATGCAGGGTTGAGAGGCCGTTGATTCTTGCTTTTTCCTTCAAAATAAGCTAGAGCTTTCCAGAGTTTGGAGTTTTTAAAAAGCAGGTGAGGAGGGAAGGTGTGGTAGGTGGACTGGAGAAGGGGGGTAAGTTTTGAGCTTTGATCTGGTCACCTATTACTCTGTCTACTGCTTAACTTTGCTTCATTTTCTCAAACTAATTCTAAGTCCCCAGACTTGCCTTTGGGGGCTCATTCTTCAGGGGATGCAGTGAGCACCATTACTAAAGAACAGAGAAGTCTGCCATTTGAAATACCCACTGCTTCCAAATATTGTCTGATTGGACCGTTTTATTAACATGTGTCATTTAGCCGCCTTCTTAAAGATGGATGGGCTTTCCTGCTGTCCAGTTCTACCCGCCAGGTAAAATTTCTGCGGGTTTACGCATTTGCTGTAACAGCATGAGAACAATTTCAGATACACTGAAAGGAGCCCTTTAGAGGTTAACAATAGACTCTTAGATGACCGTGAAGCCTCATGATGGAGGAGAAAGTGACCGCAAGGGTGTGTCCCTCGAACCCCTCTCTGTGGCGGGGAAAGGGAAGCGGTTCCTGCAGTGACACGTGTGCTCTCCTGTCCCCGTGTCCCTCCAGATGAACACCTCCCTGTTGGGGAGCATCGGCATGCTGAACTCGGCGCCCCAGCTGCGCTGTATTAAGACCTACCAGGTGCCCCCCGTGCAGCCGGCGTCCCCCGGCTCCCACAATGCCCTCAGGCTGGCCCGGCTCATCTGGACCTCCAACCGCAACGTCATCCTCATGGCCCACGACGGCAAGGAGCACCGCTTCATGGTCTAGGGCTCGTGTCTGCGTCCCCGTTCTCCCAGGTCTCCAAGCCCAGAGTCCCGTCCTTCCTCAGTGCCCACCCCCGCCGGGGTCATGGGGGGCACAGCCGGGTCTGTGTCCCTCCGCATGGTCCCCGGGGGCAGACTCCTGCTCGTGCCACCTATTGACTGAGGCATGCACACATCGCTCCGCAGGAAGTGGCCGTCCGGTCCCCAGGTCGTTTCTCACCGCCGCAGAGGGAGGGGCAGCCAGCAGTCCCGTTGCTCGGTGCACCAGAAGCCCGGAAATCAATAACCACTGTGATTGCACTGCCAGCCCAGATCAGCAGTTTCCTCACGCTAAAGCCCACCTCTGAATGCTGTTGGAAGCTGGTTGTTCTGACATTGGGTTTTGAGGTCATGTGGCAGTCCTAATTATTGATACCATTTTCCTTTGGATTTCCTAAAACGTGCTATTGTTTACCAGAAAGATTCTGTGTTTACGTGGGTTTTTTTCCTCCGGGAGATTGCTAGGCAATTACTCAATCCAATTTCCTAGGGTTTAGCCACTACCTTCTTTATTAACACCTAACCGATTGGAGATTAATGAGAAAATACACACACACACAAATTTTCCTTGTGGAGACTACAGTTTCCCAGACACCTAGCCTTCTAAAATGCTCATATCCCGCTTAAGTGATACTGTATTTAGTAGCTCAAAATCAAAATGATCACTACTTATGATCTAGTTAATATAATTATCCAGTCACTATAATCTCTTAAATGGACTTTTGTAATAAAGAACCAAGCTTGAAAGTATAGCATATACCTGAAAAGAAGATTCCTTGGCTACAGATCTTTTTAAGAAAGAGCTTACCCCTTCCTTCCAGAAACTTCACAGACCTGCAGTTCCCGTAAGTCAGCTATCGTGTAATAGTTACAATTCAGCCTTCAAACTACTACTGATCAGTTAAAGGAAAGCTAAGACAGCATTTCTTTGAAACAAGTATCCTAGAAAGTTATTAACTACGGCACAAGCATTCAGGAGCATGCAGTCATCCTCCGTATCCGCGGAGGATTGGTTCCGGGACCCCCGAGGGTACCAAAGTTCACATATACTCAAGTCCCTGATATAAAATGGCAGAGTACATGGAGGGCTGACTCTGTGCACAAATGTGGAGGCTCTCAATCTTTCCGAATCTACCCGACCATTGCAGTAGGGTGTTCGTCACACTTCCAAGTAAGCTTTAACTCGGTCATTTTCTTCTCCTTATGTCAGATTATGCTGGTTCTTCCTCACAGTAATGGAAAAAAAAAAATCTGTAAAATAATATTTTGGATGACTCGCTCCTAATAAACCTTGCTCTCTATATAGTTGGGGATTTGGTTGGTTGGTTGGTTGTTGATTGGTCGGTTAATTGGGCAAAATGGTTTATTAAATACAAAAATAGAAAATGATTTATTAAATTCAGAAAAAATACGTGAAGTTTACAAAGCAACCAAAATGCTAACGGGAGTGTCTAATTTAAAAAGCATAGATTGTCAGCGTTTATATAATATACAAAAAAAGTATCACAGTCCAGGAACAAATACATCTGTTATTTTATTGAAACAGATTTCTAAAGAACGTGTTAGGAAATTAAGACCACTAGAACATCTCTTTCATGTCGACATGAAGTTTGTCATTTCTAGTGATGGCAAACCCATCCTATACCTTGGTTTTAGACTTTAGGTATTCTTAAAAAGTGAATTTATGCCATATGCATGTACATCGTATTTATAAAGGTTATGTATGTAGCTTCCCAGGAGGAAACTCAGAACTATACAGCGTAGACTTGCTTTGTTTGGTGAACATGCTGTTGTGCCCGATATGGATAGAGAAACCTGAGGAGAACAAGAGGTGCTCTCGGTTTTTCCAGTGGTTTCCCGAGTCTTCAGTGCGAGTATGTGGCACGTGTTCACTTTATGAACTGAAATGGGGATTCATTTATTCTAGACTACAAAGCTGCTTTGGAATGATGAAGTGTAAAAGTATACCTTAGAGATTTTTTTTTTTTAAACAGAATGTTCAGGGCATCCGGAGGAAGGTGTGAGGCTGTGGGCAGGCCACCCCAAAGCATGGACGGCACACCCCATGGAGGGTTAGAACAAAGCTGTGAGGGCCCTAGGAGCCAAATACCTGGGCAGTGGGCCTCGGCCAGCTGGCCACACAGCCTGGCTGCACAGACAGCCAAAACTGTTGACCCCTAGAACATCACAGTTGTAAAACTCTGGGATGGATGGTATCTGATGGTGAGACAGACACCTCTAACTGCTAAACCAACATCTGCATTCTTGTTCACACCAATCTCTCCTTGGCTGTTTTGACAACCACAGTTGCAAACTTCATCACAGCTCAGATTTTCTCAGCACTGAGGTAAACTTTACCTTGTCATCCCAGTGTACGCTTTTGGTGTCTTATTGATCTTGTTGGCACTGTATTTGGACCTGTCCTTGTAAACGTAGAGACATATGTGGCTTCATTGGTAATTTACAAGTGAAAGATGATGTGATACCTGTATGAAAATGTAATGATTGAACTCACTGTGTACAGCACGTGACGTAAGATGTCTGCCTCTCAAGGCATTTCTTGATGACTCCACTTAACTGATTCTATATGTGCTGAATGTCCTGTGTACTTACATGTGTTAAATAAAACTGAATTGTACTGAAGATTGTTTTTCTCATTAAAAGCATTGTTCAGTCTTAAACGTTCTCAGTTGAGATCCATATGCTTTCTCCCAATTTTGGGACCAAATTAAGCCTGCTATTTCTGTCTGATTATTCATTTCCCTGGAGAGCTAGCTTCAGGAAAGGCAAACTTGTCCACAAAGGAGAGCAGAGCAGTAAAGGAATCTCTCTCCCAGCTGTGGAAGTGAGAACCACACTCCTACCAAGACCCAACAGCACCCTCTGTGGTTTGGGCAAGGGAATTGCGTGCCTGTTGCTTTATCTCCACCTTAAATTGCTTCTAAATAGACTGTTAATTGTACCAAATTGTATCTTGTCAGACTTGATGACACGGCTTGACTGCCCTGGGGTGGGGGGCTGGGCTGACATCATTAAATTAATTTCATTTAATACTCCGTTTGGAGTTGAATTTGAATCCCTGAGGAAAAGGGTATATAATTGGTTTTCAGAAAAAGCAAGAGTAACAAAATAGGTCATCATCGCTCACAGAGGGTTAGTCATGTAAGTGGTGAATGTAGTTCTCTTTAATTTTCAGATAAGAATTAAATTGAGTCAATCATCATGTAATAATACAGTTTCCTTTAAGAGATAGACAAGCATTAAAGGAGTTGACTACAACATCACTGGCCCTATTCAAAGGCCTCCTGTCCATCCCAGGAAGTGTTTTAACATCTCCTGATATCTTGAATGTATCCTTATAGGGAAAACAGGGGCAGTAACAGTTCTTTATGATTGGTGATCACATAAACTGATCAAATGTGGAAAGGGCATGACATTAATAGGAAGGTAAAGCCAAGCAGTGCTGGGTGAACTTTCACCTTTCACCCCTCCGGCTGACTGACAGAGCTGAGTGTTGAAGAAAATCAATACTCTGGAGCCAGGAGGGAAATATTTCTAACCTCTAACTAGAGAATGCATTTTGACAAGGCCAAGATAATCCAAGCTGCACAGGAGAAAGAGAAAAGATTCATTTTTAAAGCTTGACACTTCAAGGTGTTTTTGTACAATGGTTTAGAGATCGTCAATACATACAAATACCAAAGGTCAAAAAGAAAAGCCAGAAGAATTTCAAAAATTAGACGTTCAGTTCTTTCTGCTGTTTACAAACTAAAAAAGACTACAGAGAGGTTCGTGCTTGGAACCGTTTAAATGAACAGCGCTCACAGTTGTGTGCTGTAATGTTACGGTCCTCCTTTAACCAAATCTTAAATTTTATAGAGGCAGCAGTGTGAAATATTGAATGCCTAAAATGTTGTTAAGATTTCTGGGTTTTGTACATTTTTTCTTGGACGTGGATTGTGTTTGGAGTGGTTACATCGTCTTGTGGTAACATCTCAGAATCTTGCTTTTTTTTTTTTTTTTTTTTTTGTGGTACGCGGGGCTCTCACTGCTGTGGCCTCTCCCGTTGCGGAGCACAGGCTCCGGACGCACAGGCTCAGCGGCCATGGCTCACGGGCCCAGCCGCTCCGCGGCATGTGGGATCTTCCAGGACTGGGGCACGAACCCGTGTCCCCTGCATCGGCAGGCGGACTCTCAACCACTGCACCACCAGGGAAGCCCAGAGTCTTGCTTTTTGATGCCTGTTGCTGCTGCCCTGAAGCCACGTAAATCTTAGCTCCTCCGTCACATTCGCTTCAGTCATTAACGTGAGAAAAGAGTGCCTTTGGAACTTGAATTGTTTCTATTTTTCCAAATCCCTTTAAGCAAATTATTTATACAAGTATTCTAATTAGTGCTCTTCAAAGTGAGGCTTACGCATCTCTAGGAAGTAGGTAAGCAATTCACTCCACTCTTACCGCAAGATCAGATCCATTTGTTCTGTGGACGGATACCTCCATCAAATGGATATAGATTTGTTTCTTTCCTACAGATAAAAAAAGAAGTCGAATGGTGCCCATACCTTCCAGCCGAACGCAGAAAGACAAAGGAATCCTGAATACTTGAAGTATCTAAAGTAACACTCTGTTTCCTCAAGGACAAGCAACATCATGATTAAAATAACAGTGAAAATATACCCTTAATTTATATACCTTCTTTCTCATTAAAAAAAAAAAAATCTCTATTCTGAGTAGATCTGGTTGGAGATTTTTTTGTTTTATTTGTTTCAAAAGGAGAGCACAGCCAGCCAAGACTCCTCAATATTCTGAGATTTCCCAGAGAAGACCAGGAATCCAGCTCATGCCTGATTTGTAGTGAGTATCAAATATGTATTGCATT